GGAAGTACCATCGTTTTGATATACAGTCTTCTTTCTTAAAGTTTTATTTTGCTGTGCCAAAGTTGTTACAACTGATGAAGCCACATTGACACGTTCTTGTTAAGATCAGGCGTCATTAGGTCTATGAGAGTTCACTAATTGTGTTATACACTTTTAAGGGTTTTACCAAATTTGTATGTTTTCTTTTAAGTAAACAAAATGAGCATTTTAGCTAGAACAGACATTGTGCATGATCTATTTTATACTCTGAATTTTTCAGATAAGTAAAGTAAGGGTCTGGGAGATTTAGGCCTTATATCAATACAACAAAGCAGGAAAGTATGTGTGGCAGCAATTTTAACTTAGTCTTCAACTTGGCTCATAGGCTTTCTTCTCCTTGCTTTTCAATTTGATCAGTTGATAATTTTTAAAATAAAATGTCAACTGTGGAAATTATGTAATGTGTAAAACACAGCTCTGCTCCTCACTCTCAGTTCTAGAGCAGGAGAGTGACTAAGAGCTTTTGCTGGAGTTGAGAAGGGTAATAATCAACTGGACATGTCTACCCTACCAGTCTTTATCCTCTCAGTACGGTGTAGTATAGATGTGCCTTATGCTATGTGTCCTGTAGTCTTCTGCATGGAAACTGACTGGGCACCCTGGCTCAGAAAAGGAGGACTACACATAGGATTTTATGAGAATCAGTATTGAAGAGAAGAAGGTCAGCATGGCAGTAAATTGTCATGTGGTCTTCTTGACTCATAAGCTAATTAGGGGATAGACATGTTGCTCCAGAGGAAAGGAACTCCTGAGGGCATTGATGTAAGGCTAACTAGATGAATAAGAAAAGTGCTGGGCATTTCTTCTCACAATCAGAAATGACATGGACAATATTGCTGACCTTTTTGTCTTTGTACTTAATATTTCCCAATCCACTGGGAAATATTAAAAGTTAAGTGATTTCATAAGACTTCTTTTCATAGTGAGAGTTAATTCAAAGAAGAAGTGTCCACAGTGATTCTGAAGCATTCATTCTCGAGAAGGTATTAATGAAATAGAACTGAAAATCATTTTCTAAATTGTGAACAATTACATTGTTAGCATTTGGTAATACATGATGTGGAACTCAATGACATTCCAATGCCAGAGTCTACATTGATTTGCATGCTCAAATCGCATGGCAAATATCATCTGTAGTAATGCGTAAAAACCTCTAAACTGTTCCATATACAAATGAATGCCTTATTGGCAGATGACTGGTATATATTGTAATGCTGTTTTTGATTGACCCAAACTTAAGAAAAGTTCTTTTTATTCAAGTAGGAAATTTTAAATTAAGTAAAACATACATCATGACAGTATTTTACATTACAAATCAGCATTTTACATTACTTTTATCGCCGTTTGTTCTTATTTCATGGTAGGAATGTGCCACTTTCAATTATAGAATTTAAACTACTCATTCTGTTCTTGAAAGAATTATGAAGTTTTTTTTCAGAATTTCATCTAAAAACACAAATTTACAATTAGCATGTTAATTCTTTGCATTTCAAGTTATTTCATATTTTCTAATAATGTTTTGATGAACAAGAAATAGATGAGTCTCTTTTTTGGGACCCATAAATCTTAAATTGAAGCCAGAAATGTTTCTGTAGATGGAAACTTCTGCAATCATCTACCCATCCAATAATCTTCCTTTGCCTAATAGTGATTCTACTATGTTAAATTCATAGATTCTCTTGCTAGAACAGGATGTTTTTTGATTCAAGAAATGCTTTCCTTTCATGAGGAATAGTATTTCCTATTATAATGGGAAATAAGAATTGTTATATTCTGAAAATCATTGTAAATCAATATTGTTCTCTTATTGCCCTTACAAAAAATTTCTCTAATTTTTTATTTTTTTAGTTATTAAATTCTATGAAAGAATGCCCACTCATCTGTAAGGTTAGCATCATATAAAGTTATTTTTATAATATTATTACACAAAACACTCTGTTTTAGTAGATTTCACATAATGCCAGTCAGACAATTTCTGATATGTGATCAGTTTTCTTGTTAAGTAAAAGAAAACTGTGGGAGCTAGATATAAAGGTGACAATCAGTTTAAGGTGTCTAAAATTCTAGGATTTTCTGGGAAGGAAAAGATCATCAATTTTCATGTTGGTAGAGGTGAGAGACCCAGCTCCTCTTGCAAAAAGCCTAGGGACTTTGGCATCTTGGAGGCAAATCATATAGGCTATAAAACCTGCCACATAGAAATAAAAAGATGTCCTGAGAGGATGCCCCAAGAACTCTTGCTTTTCAGGGTCTGTGTCTGTCTTATCATGGGCTCCACTTCAATTTCAACAGAAGGGGCTTGGGATGCTGTGTCTACATCATAAGCTCTGTCTTCATGTGGTGTCCTTCCAGCATGGGTCTAAGGATACACTGTCCAACACAGACACTGCAGTGCCCACTAAAGGTTAAAGTGGAGTTAAGGACCAGCATGTGAAGTCACTGTCTTTGATGGCATAAAATATAGTAAAAATCTATTCTTAATGGTCTGATATGTGCTAGGAGATTCAAATATGTTACACTTATTCAATTCTCTTCACCAATATTAGCAGATTACTTTTACAGATTAGTGATAGAGGTACAGTAAAAGTAAATTCATTTAGCTGCAATTATAATGATAGTAAGCAGTGGAGCCACCACTTATACACAACTGCTTCTAGGAGGTAAAGCCCTACACCATACCATACAAAGTACCACAGAGGAAAATTCGTGTCCTCATCAATGGTGTTGTATGCGAAGCCCAGAACTGACATATTTCAGCCCAGATTGGTGTCATGAAAAACATAGAGATGCACATGCTTCACTGATCTAATTTTAGAGATTTGGCTGAATAATTCCATCAACAAATCTGCTAAGTAGTCTTAAGGGACACAATGGGATGCCCTTCTGTGCAGATCAAAGGTTGGAAGAGGCAGATATACTACTGAAGCTTTCCCAAGAGTGAATCTGATTGCAGACTGAATGCAGAATTTCTAACAATGTGAATAACAGAGTAAGTGAATAAAAGAAAAGTTTTAAGAACAAGCATGGTTGTTATGCCAGCCCAATTTGTTTCTGTATTTGGAACTTCATGAGGAATGTTATATATCAGCATGCTATTTTAAAAATTTTGACATACTTTGAGCTTTTGTGCTTCTTTCAGCCTATGTAAATTCATTCTTAAACATTTAATTAACACTTCATTCCCTCTGAGGTGTTAAATCCATTTACTTAGGTATTAGGCAGTGAAGACAAAAACACCTAATTGCTCTTGTAAAGTAAAAGATTAGAATTAAATAGGAATATTAGTACCTAGATTTCAAATCTGGGAGGATTAAGCTTCTCCAAAAATAACTTTATTATGAAGGACTATAGGTCATTTGCAATACAATCTTAAATTTTGTTCCTATGAATGGGAATGAGCACTGTCTGAAGTGGCACTATTACTGTGTTCTAATCTTTCCTGCCACACTAATCTGTTTAATCAAAGCTTTATCACAGTTTGTCTAAGCTGCCTGCCTCTGAAGAGCAAATTGCAGACACGATTCCATCTAACAGCATGTGGTTTTAAAAGAGAATGCACTTTGTTTTTACTCCCTACATAATGAGTTTGAAGTTAAAAGGATCTTTGCTTACATGGCTATATTTAAAACACTGGAATCTACAGAACAGAAGCTCTGTGCCATGTTGTTCTCCGTTTATTCAAAAATCTCTTCTAAAATTTGAACATATTTATCAGACATTTGAGACTTCGAATACATATGCCTTGCATCATTTTCAGCACAGAGTGGCAAGAGGGTTGTCAAATGAGCTTTTGAGAGGAAAAAGTCAAGTGGTAAATATGAACAAACTTTGGTCAATTTCACCAAGTGCTCATCATCAAGAACCTGTGAAACTAAAGCTTTGCAGACACTTGAGGTTCCATCTGTGAGGTCTGAAACATGTAAGTATATCAGAATAATTTAACAGAAGAGCAATATATCCACAAACTGAACAATTAGAGTTTAGATAAGCAAAAGGCATATAGTATTTTATTTTGTTTGATCCTCCAGTGCTAATATTTACACATAATCATACTTAAAAGACTCCTTCCTGTAGGAGCAGATCCCAAAATTCAGGGAGGAATATGTGAATGATGCATAGTCAACCATGGCAGACAGTTCCCAAAGTGCATATCACTGTCTCATTTCTTTCTGTGGGTGGGTTTTTTTGTTCTGTTTTGTTTTGTTTGTCATCTCTCTATCCCCCCAAGAATTTATTTAACCTTTCTATCAAAGTAAAGATTAGAAGCCACCTACAATGGTTTAAAATGCTCGCTAAAAATCCAAATTTCTGGGCTCACCTAAATTTGCCAAACTAGAATATTTAAATCTAGGGCCTCAGAATCTTCACATTTAGAACCATTCAAGAAAATATCACAGTAAAATTCTATGACCACTCTGCATAGCACTAAACACTAATTCTGCCTTGATATTGTCAGTCTTTCTCTCTCTCTCTCTCTCTCTCTCTGACTCTTTCTTTCTCTGCCTCTCTCTCCCTTCCTCCCTCCTTTCCACACCAGAATGCATATACACATACAAGCACACACACATCTTTATGTATTCTTCCATTTGTTCCTCTTACTACTATATCCATCTTTACAGAAATCAATGCCTTGTTTATAAGCCTTTAAACATTTGCCAAAAATTTAGAAATATATTTTACCTAAAGATATATTGGGTAGAAATTAGCTGATAGGGATTAATAGAAAAACTGGGAAAATATGGCAAATGACCATCTTTAAATATTTCTTCAAATTGTAATTCACAGTACTTATCTATCCATTTCTAAGAGGAAAAAATCAATTAGGAGATCCTTTCAAAGTCTGATTGCACAGTGGATGGGTGTTATATCTTCATAATTAGCAAAATGACAGTTTTAGCTAATGCATTTGATCCTTATTTGCACATGGGGAATTTTCAGACACTAGGAAAAAGTAAACTCACCACTTCTTCATGTCTGCATTTTCTCACATTAATTCCATTTATCTGCAATGGAAAGAAAAGCATATTTTTATGTAGTAAGTTGTAAACTGTCTTTATGTTTTTGATGTACACATGGATAGTAATGACAAGGTGCATACCTGTAGAATTGCATCCCCAATGAAGAGAAGTCCTGAAAGTTCCACTGTGAATTAAAAAGAACAATTGATTACACATTGACTATTTCCTTCAAATGAATGAGTTTCTATTTAATTAAAACTGATAAATGAAATAAATGTTTCATAAGGTTACCATCTTAAAAGATCCACAGGAAATTCAGAACACTGATTCAACCCATTTTAATCTACCATTTCAGGTCTCAGAATTGCTAAAAGTTGGGCACCTTTCTAGATGGGTGACCAAGTTTTCTTATGAACTTATAATTATGATGTCTCTATGAAAATATCTAAGATGTAGACATTTGATTTATCAGCGTTGTGGAAGAGGCTCCAGGTTAATTTTAAACATTTTGTTTTATTAATTTTAGCAAAGATTTAAGAATGTAGCATTTCCTTTATATCCACATTGTGGTTCCTCGATGAAGCTTCATAGGAAGAGTAATTGAGAACTGAATGAAAAAGAATCTGGAATTATCCTTACAGATGTTGCTTATCCTTTGTTTTGTTTCTGTGTTTGCTGTAACAATTGAAAAGCTATGCAAGATTTAATTCATACAAGGTCACATGGTTTGCTAACGTTTGCCTTTGTTCCTTTCTGTGAAAGAAGCCCTTCCTTCAATGAAGGGATAGCAGTTGGACTCAGGTATCCTTTCAGCCATGTATGCCAGATCCTGGGGAATCTGCAGCTAGTCAGTAACATCCCACTTGTGCAAGCTCCTCAGTGATTTACAAAGGAATAGCTACTATGCAATTCTCTAAACACCTTACCTCTTTGCTCCTTAGAGATTTTTGAAATGACAACTGGAATGTTATGCTCTGCTCCTCCCTAGAAAGAGAAAATTATATATCATATTTTAATCCCCATCCCAAATGGAGCTTTTAGCCAAGAAACTGTACAGGCTAAGAATAAGAAGGCAGAATTCAAATAAACTTGGGTCCTTTCATCACTAAGTAGGTAAGTAGTGTTCCCATGAACTTCTCTACATGTTTAGACTTTTGCTGAAACATCTAATAATAACAATTTCTGTTATATTTGTTATAAATACAAATTTTATATTTGTTATAAAAACAAATTTCTGTTTCTCAAAAAAATATTGGTTATATCTTTACATAAATATTCTCTGCAGTGTCCTAACTATAGGAATGCTACCCATTATAGTAATTCTTACTTAGAATTCCAAACACCAGATCATTATACACTTAGATTCACTGCCTAAGTTATTCTATGTTGGCCCCCCAGTACAGAGACCTTTCTGAATGCTAAATGACCAGAGAGACCATTACCTGCACAAATGGATAAACAAAATTAGGACATGCATATGCATGATGGGAACAAATTATCTGCATTTCCCAATTAGTATTAGATGCGTGTTTGTGTGATAGCACATGCTAAACAATTTGCATGGTAAAATATAGCCAAGAATAATGCAGTTGCACTTTGTGACTGAACCAAATGTGATGGGTTGGGGGTGGGGGAGACAAATAAGTAATGCAAATTTAAGCAAAACACAATAAAGTAAATCCTCAAAATAACTACATAAAAACCCTGTTTCATCATTACAGAGTTGAGAAAACTGAAAGCAGTAGTTGAAAAATCAAATGAGCATATTAAGGAAGAAGCTGTCATGTAGAAAAGAAGTGTAGCACTTTTAACAAGGCTCCTTGAAAAACTGATATAAATGGCATTGGCCATGTTCTGTCTTTAGAATATTTATCCTTCCTAAGCTTCTACCAGCCCAACAAAAACTTACTTTATAATAGTCATTTTCCCCACAAAGACCCATTTTTTAGTACTAAGTATAGTTAAATACAAAGTAGACAATCATTTGAGAAAGTAGTAGTATTCAACTTTCCTTCCCAAGTTGGATTATAAAGGAGAAACATGGTAAGATAATAAATACTGAATTCTTATTTGGGTTGAAATTCAAAGCTACTACTCAACACTTTTTTTCTCATTAATTCCCATCTACCCATTTTTCTTCCTCCAAACCCCTCACTAAATGCAAATTAAGCCACTGACATAGGCTTTAGTAGACCTAATTCTGATTCTGCCTTTTAGTGTGTTTGTCTCTAAAGCACTGATGTTGTGTAAGGTGAACCTGTTTCTCATTGGATCAGAGGGAGAGGGATTTGTGACTGACAGTGACAGAAATTAAGTGCTTATATAGCACATAGCAAACACTGAACAAAGAGGTGCTAAAGTCTGAAGGTGGGATACTAACTATGGTCCAGTCTTTAGATTTATTAGTAGGATCACAGGGCATTAAAGTGAAGTCAGAACTAATCCATTCTAAGACCCTTGATATGCATTAGTTAAGACACCATTTCCAATCCCCCATTCGCATTTGTTCTTTTCCTTTAATACTTACTTGCTTCCAATTTACTGTAATTCTTACTCATTTCCTGCATTTATTACTTCTTTTTTTATCTCCTTTCCCCATCCCTAACTACAATATTAACTTTGCAAGGGCATTAAGTTTTTTAGTAGCTTTTTTATTCATTGGTACAATCCCAGTGCATGGAATAATGGTTTCTTTTAGATCATTGAAATAAAAAAATTTTTTTAAAGTTTTTTCTAGGCCTAGTCTATGATTGCTGATAATTTCTAAAGATATCTGGAAATTGGAAAGCATGTTTATAATACATCTACATTTTTTAGAAGCAAAAGCTTGATAAATCAAATGAGTCTTCTACTTGATAAAGGTACTATAAAAAGATGAAATGAGAGGTTCAGATTCTCTGGGGTCAGGACTGCATTGTTTATGACAGACTTGTCTGTGAGATTTCCTTTCACCTACTTTTGCACTTTACACTTTTCTCTACCTCCATACTAAATCCAAAGATTTCCTTAATGTTTAGATTGATGTGTGTGTGTGTGTGTGTGTGAAGGGGTGTTTTGGCAGGGTTTCTCTGTATAACCCATACTGGCCTGGAACTTACTTGAGAACCTTCTGTTTCAATCTTCTGAGTGCTGGGATTACATGTGTGCCTCCAAGCTTGACACCAGTCAGTGACTTTCTAAGGGTAACTCCATAATTCCATTGTTCCCAATACTCATATTAATGACAGTCTTTAAATGACAAGATGTAAGTAACACCTTTTTTGCCAACATTTTTCTTTTATATGTAAAATTTTTCTTGATATTTAAATGGATATAGACTAAACATAGTTTGGAGAGCTTTTTGTTTTTGTTTTTTATTTTTTGCTTTCAAATCAGGCACTGGAACTCTGAATTTTTAAACTAATTTCAGAAAATAGCTTTATTGATTAGATAGCAAAGTCTGAAACAAAATTCAGAAGATAAAAGTGGAACTTAAATGATTGGAACCTTCATTTATTAGATGAAATGTGAGGGCAGCCAAGCTCTTTTAAAGGTAATTAGATTTACTTCAGGACCTAAATGCAGTAATTTAAGGTTTCCCAGGCAAGGCAACAATGGGGCTTACTGTCTTTAAAATAGGTAATAAGCGTCCCATTAAACTTGGAATAAAAGTTAAAATCTTTAATGGCCCCTTGGTGCAGGGTGGGCCTTGAGTCCATTATGAACACTACTGGACATCAGTATTCACCATTCTCTTTTCCTAGAATGGGTTTTCTTTCACTCTTAAACTGATAAACATCTGCTTGTATTTGAGATTCAGCTAAAAATGCCCCTCCTTTGATGCTCCAGATGTGAAGTGATTTATTTTGTTGCACTGGATTCTGTTCATGATTTACATTTAATTACTTAAGAACTTGATCCAAGCATTATCTCCAGTAGAGTACAAATGGCCTAAGGTCAGGTCATCATCCTTTCCCCAACACATCCCTGGTGCAGAGTGTGACTTGTGACCAGTTTAGAGAATGTCTGAATTAATTCGGGATGGTTACTCCAGACTGTGGTGGGATCCAACACTTAGGGAAGTGATGCAGTGTTCCAAAGTGCAGCCCAGATGTCAAAGCTTCATCATTCAGTATTTTTACAAAACATAATTGATGTTACAACATGCTCTGTAGGAACAAGGCTATGAGTTCCATATAAGGTGTTTGAAAAAGGATATACATAACAATTTTGTCATTGTAACTGTGAGATATTACAAATCAAACCAGATCTAGCATGTTTTTGGAAAGTCTTGCCAAATATTTCAATTCAATATTTTCATTATTCCAATCAATTAATCATCTCCTGTGCTCTGGAAACCAAAGATATGTGTAGACTATTAGGATGAACAAAAAGAAGCCACCTTAGGATTAACTCCCCAACCTTGCAGGCAGTTTACTGACACCCCACCACCTACTGGAAGGACCACATCTAACCTTGCCAGGGAGTCAGAAGGTGAGCAACTTATCTACCTAATTACCACTTTTCTCTTCTAGTTTCCCTGAGCAACTTATCTACCTAGTTTCCACTTATCTTCTCTCGCTTCCTGTAGCCATGGTTGACTCCACTCTGGAAAAATTTTCCCACCCAGCAGGTTTCCCCCTCCGGGCCAGTCCCCTATTATCTACTAGAAGTCTGTAAGTGGCAGTGGGCTCCAGTTCTCTTGCTGGGGTCCCCCTCCACAGGGCGCCTGCCTAAACAATAAACCCTGTGCTGGTGTTTGAGCTGTTGCACTGCCTCTTTCATGGCTCTTTCATTTCTAACATGTGATGCTGAAACCTGGGACAAGCATGTAGTTTCAACTCTCAGCTCTCCACTGTCACAACCTGGAAAGCAGAGGACAGCAACAGTTCTTCCCTGGTTCACTCTCGGACCCTGTGTGTAAACTGGCATCTTCCCCCACCCCCACTGTCTCTCTCCTTTTTCACAACTCTCCCACACTTTCCTTTCGTTTTTGGCACCACCAGAGACCATTTTCCATCACTGGATTTCCACCCAACAATGGATTTCAAATTTTGGTGAGTTTTCCCCTTCATCCAGGTTTCTCCCTAGTCCTACTGTGGATCATGGAAGCCCCAGCTGGGTTAGAGACTCCCTCCACCCACCATTGGATGGATTCACCTGCTATTTTTCTGGGGACACTTGAAAAATATCCAGGTGCATGCACTTGTATATTGGCAGTTGGCAGTGACCTTCTCATACACCTGTCTGACTAGGTAGGGACACTGTGGGGATTGTTCACCTCCTCTCAATCTCAGTCTAATACCCACAGGAATTGTGTCAGTTTCAGACCTTAGGGCCCACTGGAATTGTCTTGATTTTGGACACTCAATTTCCAACCCACAAAAAGGGTTGAAAGTCATCCAAGTCCCCAAAGGACAGTCCATTAGCATGTATCCTCTAAAATCTTCATACTCTGGGGCTCACAAAAACCATTAAACTCAAATGGTTATTTCTTTTTTTTTTTTTATAAGTTAGGCAGTGATAACCATTGCCCTGAACAGGGCCCTTTTGATTTCCAGATTTAGCATGATCTCAAAAATTTTCAGCAGATGGTCAGAGGTTCCTTACCTCCAAGCTTTCACTTCTCTCTGCTCAAAATTTCTGTCAGTCTTGTAATTCCTTCCAGATCCTCCTTCTAAATAAAAAATCCTCCAAAAACTGTGTCGTCTTTACCCTCCAAAGCTGTATCACCATTAAAAACTTCCTTTCTGACTTCAACCCAGCTCTATGTCATCCTTTCCTTTTTTTTCTCATCTCACAAGGTATGAAAAGTGTTTAACTTTGAAACTCTTCTTTCTAAGTCTGTCTCACCCATGATGGGGGGTAAGAAAGCTCTCCTCCTCCACAACTGGTTCCAATCTCCTCTCCTAGACTGGCCAACCAGGTGAGGACAACAGAGGCAGAAATAGACAGGGAGAAAGGAAAAGAAAGGTTCTGTTCAAGTCACATTGTCTGTCCTCTAT